GGGGAAAACACAATGAATTCGACTATTTTGGATGACCAGTCGAGCTGTGCACGCCGCAGAGGGTTGGATGTGATGCGCAGTGGCCGTGCGGAGAGAGACATCGGTAAGCGGCAGCGTAAGCTTCTTCAACTTGCGGCACAGTTCACCACTTAACACAGACACGGCAGCACGAGTATCAACGAGCGCTTTCGCAGGTACTTCATCAATATGCACAGTTATTTCATTAGCAGGTAAAAATGGAGGCCTTGAAGGTTTCGATTTATGCGCAGCTCTTGCCTTGGGAACTGCGATGGTCAGTTTTCCGTTTGGGTGGGTGGTGACCGAGGAAGCATCGGAGAAATAGAGCGGCGCCGTGGTGAGGGTGACCGATTCCTGTCGAAGCCGCGGCGACTTGGCGGCGACTGATACGACGTGGGGTAGAACGAAGACGGCTGTGGTGGCTCTGGACGATAGGAGTCGTAAGTCGCCTCACCAGCAGTTGGGTTGTAATCCCGACGACGGCAGTAGCGTGCTACATGACTAGGAAGCTGGCAGAAATAGAAAATTGGCCTATTGTCTGGAGTGCGCCAAGGGTTTGTTGATGGTAGTGTGGGGTGGCAAACAGGAGGTGGGTGGCGTCGGGTAGGAGGACTTGCTGCGTAGTGTGGACGGGGCTGTTTAGCAAGATCCGTGACGGTTGGTAGCGACGGCGGCGATCGTCTGGCGGTCTCAGCGTAAGTGAGAGGGGCAGAGATAGGCGGAGGATTGTATGTGGGAGACTGGGCGTCAGAAACTTGCTCTTCGATTGCCTTGCGGAGCGTAGGAGTCAGCATGCAGCGTAAGTGAGAGGGGCAGAGATAGGCGGAGGATTGTATGTGGGAGACTGGGCGTCAGAAACTTGCTCTTCGATTGCCTTGCGGAGCGTAGGAGTCGGCATGTGCTCACTGGTCGGGACGTACGGTACAAGAGAAAATTGGCGCGAAACTTCTTCTCGGACAAACTGCTAGATTTGCTGCATTAACGTGGTTTGTTCGGAGGAAACGGCGCCAATGGTTAATGCAGATGTAGAGGTCGTGTCGAAGTTTGAACGTCGAGTAGAAATCCGCTCTCTCCGCAGCTCCTCGAAACTCTGACAGTGCTGAATAAGCTGGGCGACGGTTTGCGGGTTTTTCGCAACGAGCATGAGAAAGGCATCGTCCTCGATACTTTTCATGATGTGCCGTATTTTGTCAGTGTCAGACATTTCTGAATCTATACGGCGGCAGAGGTCCAAAGCATCCTCAATATACGAGGTAAAGGTCTCGCCTGAGCGCTGTGCGCGGCAGCGCAGGCGCTGTTTGGCGCGGAGCTTGCGAACAGCGGGTCGGCCAAAGACTTCTGCGAAGCGCGTCTTGAAGGTAGGCCAAGAGGGTTTTTCCGCTTTGTAGTTGTTAAACCACAGTTCTGCCACACCCGCGAGATAGAAATTGAGGTAAGTTAGCTTGTCTGTGTCATCCCACTTATTGTGGGCGCTTACCCCTTCATACTGCGACAGCCAGTCTTCAGCGTCTTGGTCGTCGGTCGCGTTGAAGATCACTGGATCTCGCTGTCGTGGCATTCCGGAACAGGTGACAGATGGGATTATCACTGCAGGGGGCTGGGTCATGTTGTCAGGCATTGACGAGGCGAGGGACTGAGGCAGAGTTCGGGAACGGAGTTCCAGTTTGAGACAACCAGCACCTCCACCAAATGTAAGAATACTGCTAGACGCACGCCGGGGTAGAGCAACCGTTTATTGGGCCTAACAGCACCGAGATAGCAACCAGCGGTTTCAGCAGCAGCTGCAGCAGCACGAGCCTCCGCCACAACAAACGTCTTCTTCGTCGTTCTTAGAGCCCATATTTGTCACTACAAAGGCCACTGTTGTAAATTGTATGAACCTACCGCGTGAATAGCATGTGCATTGAAGGTCTTCGAGAACAACGAGGAAGGAGCAAGCGTTTAGTGAAATAGAACATGTTTGTTGACATGAATGATCAGATTTGTGTCTTTTTCATTTGGTGCCTTTAGACACAGAAGCGTGGTTTTCCCACAGTCACTTCAAGGGGAGCGACACTTTTCACACAGTGTATACAGGGTTTTCGCAATTAAAGTGCAGGACGTAGCATTGTATATGCAAGCCTCTCGCTGATGGTTGCCGAGACAGCGTGTGCGCAAGCGATCGTGACCATTCCTCCCTCGTTCCTTTTTTTTTAATGCTCTTCAAGGCGGGCAAGAATAATAAACATTATTGCACACGCCGGAGAGGGGCAGGATCGTTTGATCTCTGCTTCAAGCGTGTTCGTCGTCCTTGGTTACAAGCTTTTACCCGTGGAAAGAGCATACGATGCGCAGGGGTATGTCATCAATATTTAATTTATATGGAACCTGGCTGCAATGGCAAAAGCCCGTTGGGAGCGACAACGTAGTTTGTATCGCAATAACGAGGCCTTCGCACAATTTAGCTGAGTGTTTGAAAAGTGCAGCGTGGAACAAATGTATCTTCACAAGTAGTTTGAAAGGGGCTACATCTGCTCCTAATTTTCATGCTGCTCTAAGCTTACTCGAAAAGGCCCTCCTGGCTGCTCCAAGCCTGCTCCAAAAAACACTTTTGTCTGCTCCTTGGACTGCTCCCAAACCCATGTACCCTGTTCCACCCCTGCACTATTCCATCATTTTTTACGTAATTTTTCTCCTTATCAGTGCACTGGGCCCAATGGTCAATGAGCCTGCATATTCTTGCTAAATGAAAGTTTTCGGTTAGTCATGAAGCCACTTTTGCACCGCAATTTGTACGTCTAAATCTGAGGCAAATCAGTGACCATGCAAATCACCCTTGGGTGGCCCAAACAAGCGAAAGTCACATGAAGCTAAGTCTGGGCTATTGGGAGGGTGCTTCATTAAGTCAAATTTTACCTTGTTGATGGTGTAAATAGAGGTGTGAGCCAATAGTGGCCATGCATTGCCATGCGACAACAAACCTCGGCGTTTAGTGGCAAATTGTGTGTTGCATTTGTGGCAGATTGCGAATTCTCGACCCCTAAATACACAGTTTTTACATGATAGTGCACTTCTCCCATACTTCAAGGATAGTCTGCGTTGAATATCTGAACCTCTACACCCTCCAACTAGAGGAAACAGATCACTGCTCATTGTTCCTCCTTGGTGCAAACTTGCAATAGTAATAGGGCAGCCAGGATATGTCGGCAACAGAAGGATGAAATATTGAGGAATTAAAGGAGCACTGACATCAAATTTACTCATGTCAATATTCTTGCGTCAACGAGCAGCTATAGACCCCGTAGCAGCGATTCGCGACCTAGAATGTAACTGAGGGTTGAGTAGCTATCAGCATTTATTGATTTATATCACTGGTATCTAGCACGATTCAAAACAGCCGGCAATCTCGTCAGTTTTAGCGCTGGGAGCACTACCTGTGGCACGACCTCACGGTCACTTCCAAATAGCGCCACAGCTGACCACTTCTCAGAAGAGTGACGTCACGCTCAGCTGCTCCGCAAACATTTCCTCTGCTAGGCAGAAACAATCAGCCATGCCTTGTCACATGCAATGCCGCCGTTGCTGTACAAAGTGTCGACTCCGGTTGAATATAACAGTCTGGAGCTTGGGATCCCCGCGATTCGTGATGTCGCGAATTATTTTTGCTTCGATCGACCCTTTACAGAATAGCGATTCCAAAATGGACGCCGTTCCAAGCAGCATTGAGGAGGTGCCCGAGGATGCCATGTTCGCTCGTCTGTCTCAGTTAGCTATACTGGTGTGTTTTGGCGTGCACGGCATTCGGGTATACGCAAAGAGGTCAATGAAATATCGCTATCGGGAATGAGCATTAGCGGAGAAGTAGAATACATTCCCCTGCTTGCTAAGTTTTTCTTTGCGCCTCCAGGTGGCCTTACCTACCAGCCTCTTGCGTTTGCAGCGACAGTAACCCGGTATTACGCAGACGCAAAGAAGTCTACATACAAACTAAAATTCAACGATATCTTTGTGTTACTTGCTAGCAATGGCATCTATCTATACGCTGTTTCACTTTGATAGCTTTTGGTTGTGATGGATAAGTGAAGTCAAAAGACACCCTCATTGCGCTTTTTCGTGCTTCGAACGATGACTGCAGCTCACAACGGTTACACGACATGCTGACTGACAAGCACACGTTGAATCATGCTCTTTTTTTTTTTCGCCGTTCTTTTAAAGGTGGTTTGCATTTTGGTAAATTCACGAAATCATTCAAAGCAGCGTGGCAAAGATGTGACATGACGAGCGAGTATGTATCCAGGCTTCGGCGCCACAATAAGAACCCTCTGATCGTAGACGTCGCCGCTACTAGCGCATCATCACTCAGGGTGGTCTGTGTGGAATGTACCACACCGAACATGGAGCACTGGTGTCGACGTCGCAGGGCATTCCATTTTCATTAACTCTGGTACACTGTTTGCCGTTGAAATAAAATAACGTCCACGCAACGGATTCTATTCAAATTTGGCCAAGACGACTTAAGCACACCGAGCGATCACAGGAAGGGCACATCTCGATTCTGAAATTTTATATCAGTGCTCCTTTAAAGTCATACTTTCACAGCATTACCGCAGCAGAATAACAATAATATATGCGAGGACAGAAGACCAACTGTGCAATATCATTAGAGTTATGACACAAGTGTAGGTAATTTCTGACTCGCGCTTGTATATTCTAGAAATATTTAAAAAACATTCGATTCGACACTTGCACTTCAATATTTTCTCACCCAAAATTTTGCTATTCGCACAGCTCTAATATAAACAATGCATAAAAGCATGCATTGCTGCTCAGTCTTCCTAGCACCAGCAAACACTTATCGCATGCAGTGAGGCCAACCTTGAGGCCAAGACACACAGTTATAACAGGGTTCAGTTTGAGATGACTGCTGTTAGCTTGAATAAACTTTTTCTTAGTGGTATTCATTGTGGGCACAATTTTATTTATTGTGGTTATGTCTTTTACAGGACAGCGAGTTGAGTCTCACTAATGAAGAGCTGGAGAAGAGGATAGAGAAACTTTCAAAGGTTGGGCCTTTTCTGTTAAGCTTTCTGTAGGTACACAATGTAGCATACATGTAGTGTAACTGAAGGTGTACACTTAAAAATCACAAATAATGGTTGTACACTTCTCTTTGAAATTTAAGGAAAAGTTGAATGGAAAATGTGCAAAGTTGCTGACTTGAGTGTGATGGGACAGCTATACTACAGAGTCTTTTTCTTGTGATCTGGATTGCACATACCTGAACAGAAAATCGGAAAGTTGGAGCATTTCCTCTCACTCTACAGCAAAAGCTTCTTTTTTAGAAAAAAAAACATTTTCACAAAGAGTGCCTGCCTGTCTGAGAAATTGAAAGAGGGTGAGGCAATAGCTTTTCTTTCTTATGGTGCCTCAGGTTGCCAAGCAATTAGAATTAAGGCGTACCCTAATGTTGCCCTGTCATGTTTAGCCACAGACGACATCTATCGTATAACTGGCAATGTATTTCTCTAGCTTTTTTAAGCTATGAGAGCTCTCTGGTATCAGTTCAGATTTTGGCAACTAATTAGTACTCAGGGAGCTGAATCTGGCAAGCAAAGAGTGATTTGTCATGAGCACTGTATCTGACCTGAAAACAACTTTTGTGTACAAGCTTTTTGCTATGGATGTTTCAGGAACATCTGTATACTGTTTCCAAGTTTTACAGTATTTTAAACTCAGCATTGAAGTTTTGTTCTTTTTCCCTTAGTTTCCAATTTTGTGATATAGATGTTGTGTGCATACCAAAATAGAAGTAAGGCACTTATCCTGTCACAGCATGCTGACGTCTCTGTATGTATACGTGCATTCCTGCAGCAACAGGCACAGTTCCAAAACAAGGTGGCCAAGGCGAGCAGCAGTATTCGGGCTGTGATGCTGGGCCAAGACCGCTTTCGACGGCGCTACTGGCTGTTGCCCATAGCGGGGGGCATTTTCGTGGAGGCCATGGAGTCGTGCGAGCAGGACGGCATGGGCGACTTTGTGGCCTCTGATTACATGGCTGACGAGGACGATAGCAGTAGTGAGGACTGTTCAGTTGCCAAGGAGGGCACTTCTGCTCGAGGGGTCAAGGAGGAGAGGCAAGATGAAGAGGAGAGCCCTGCTCTGTCATCTGTGAAGCAGGAGCCCTGCGATCCGAAAGAGGAGACAGAGGACGACGTTCCCCAGGTGGCCGCTTCAACAACTGGTGAAGTCAAGGACGAAGTTGAAATGGCTGAAAAGACAGACTCCTCCAACAACACTGAGGAGCCCGAGAAGAAGCAGGAAGAAACCGAGGCACCCTTGAGCACCAACGAGAAAGGTCCGTCCGTTGCTACCAAAGAAGCTTCCTCTGTTGCGTCTGTGCCAACGTCAGCGGCAAACCTCTCTGCAGTGACGACGTCTGCGACCTCTGCCTCGGTGACCAAGGAGAAGAGCCCATTGCCCGAGCCAACCCTAGAGCAGAGCTGGATGATGCATTCGCCCTTTTTTGCGTCCATCATTGCGGGCAACATGCTGTTCAACAGCAGCACGTTCCCAACGCCTGGTGCCGCCCCATCTTCGTCGTCGCCAAGCTCGTCACCACAGGTGGGAGCAGCAAGCACGGTGGCCTTGGGAAAGGATGGTGCCTCTCCGCTTTTCGGGGGCTTCACCACTCCCCTGTCGGCTGAGCATATGCTGAAGCACCTGGCCCAGAAGAAGCCGTGGTTTAGCCTCCTGCCACGAGTGCCCTGCGATGAGGAATCCCTGGCACGGCTGCCTGGCTCAAAGGACATGGATGACGATGACATCGAAGAAGAGGCATCGTCCACCGTAGGCTCCACGATGGGCAGCAGCCGAGTAGTAAGTGTGATAGAAACCGAGGACACCACCAACCAGTACGACAAACCACAGCCTGTGCCTCCGGGTATGTGCAGCACACTTGTCACCTAGCTATGTTTTTGTGGAGCTAGCATTTGCTGTATTTATTTGCCACATAATGAAAATAAGTGTGTAGCGGCTTTTAGGACTTGGCAGCAGCATTTCAGCAGAGGAAAAAAAATGCAAGAGTACTCGTGCACATATTTTCTTTACTCGCATACTTGGCACGCCCCGAACTTGGCTGTGATAAGCGATTATGTACTGTATGTTCACAATTGCAATTCGACGCCTTTATATGTTAACCGAAGCAAGAAAAAAGAGAAGACAGCAGCAGCTCTGCACTGTAGTCTTCTGAGAAAGAAGGGCAGTTGCCTGGGTGTCAGAATCATTGAGTAACCTTTGCACCAGCGGCGGTGTGGCTCCGGCCTCTAGCCTGCCGTACGTGCTCTGCATGGAACACGTGATCGCATTCTCGTAGTGCATTTTAGTTTTCTGTCAGAGAAAGAGCCGTCGTTATCATGTTTGCTGCCTCGCCCGTCAACTTAAAAAAGCTGTTCGCCTTTCCGGAGCGAGCTTTCCCCTTTGATGCCACTACGTGGACTTGCACACTCTCAGTAAATTTTCGTCGTCGTTGATTTTCAAGACGCGAACCTAAACATCATATCACGCACACTGCTTTTGGTGAGTGCGATCGATGCCAAATCTTCATGTTGTCTTGTACAAACTTCCTGGAACAACATGCTGAACCGTTGGCTAGGCCTATAATTTGTGTAGGTTACTTTTCGATGGTATTTGCGAGCGCTCAAAGTTGCGTTTTTGTACGGAATCAGCATAACTCTTTGCGGTGGCTCTACTTGTAGAAAGGGGGCTTGGCTGGCTTTTGTAATTCTCTAACGGTGGTTCGCGACTCTTGCCATGTCTTAGATATGGGGCGCGAACTTGCGAAGTCGAACAATCTGTGCCATTCAGTGATAATCAGCCAATTTCCGTGATGGCGCTTTTTTCAGGTTTTTTTTTTTTTTTGCGTTCATTCGTTGACCACGCGGGTCTTTTGATGTTAATTTTTTGGAAATTTGAATGCTCACTGCATTGGGAGCGTGCCTCGATTCTTGGACACGTGACACTGCATGCCCGACATGTTTTGCGCTAGTCTAGCCTATGAAGAAGGCCCATTTGGCTGTAGTGCGGATATTTGCGACTTCGGCGACGTCATCAGTAGTTTTTGCAGTAGTCATAAGTATAACTGTCGGAAATTGTCGGAATGTCGGAATATGTACACATTACCAACAAGAAAAATGTTCTCAATTTCCAGTACAACATCGGGAGCAACAAACTCAGTAAAACGTCCCATTTTAAATACTTAGGGGTGACAATTACGAACAACCTAACTTGGCACCGTCACATTGAATCGGTTTGTTCTGAGTCATTTAAAAAACTGTGTTTTCTACGAGCAAAGATGCATAAAACACCGAAACACGTAAAGCTGCTTGCATACCACACATATATTAGACCTAGACTGGAATACGCCTCTGTGGTTTGGAGCCCTCACCAGAAACACTTGGTCACCAAGTTGGAACGTATTCAGAGGCGTGCAGCTCTGTTTGTGTGCTCTAGATATAGAAGGCGGGATTCAGTAACTGATATGCTAAATTCATGCAATTTAGAATCACTGGAAATTTGAAGACGGAAACAAAAACTTAAAACATTATTTCGTATAATCCAAGAGATATTCAAAATACCTAAAGACGAGTACATACGCCTTCCCGGAAAATGTAGCACTAGATTGAATCATGATGCCCCCATTGAACCTTTCAGCGCTCGCACTGACATCTTTCGGTGGTCATTTTCCCCGGATGCTATAGAACAATGGAATTCTTTACCCCAACATGTTATTAATAGTACCGATGTGCAAACTTTCGACAGAGAAATTGATGCTTATTTTGGTAATGGTTGAAGTACTGCCCATTCTGTTTTCCTGTGTTTATTGCTTAGTGGTTTTTTTAGGTGTTCTGTTTGTACTCATATTGTACTCCCTCCCTGTTATGACCCTCAAGCGAGGGTTGACAGTATTAATAAATAAAATGAAATAAAAATAAAATTTTACCCTGCGTAATAGGGGCACCCTGAACTTGGAGCTGTATTTTCTGAAAAAGAAGTGCGCCTATTATGCGAGTAAACATGGTAAATGTAGGTAGGTACCTATTGAAAACTCCTGGTGGTCAAAATTAATTTAGTCTCCAGTAGTACTGTTTGCGTCACGTCGCGATCATTCGTTAATTGTGGTAAACAAAACTTTGAACTAAAATTTTAAACACCAATGTACATTGTGCTTTGTTTTTATGCTTTCTTAAGGATAAATCCATATCAGTAAATACAACCTTTATTTTGCTTATGCCTGTACATTTGTAATAAGATGTCAACAGTGTGGATGATGCGAGGCCAAAGGGTGATTGATGTCCTGTTATACAGAGTACCTGCGAGGCTGGTGGCGTATCACCGATTCTGCCCAGCTTAGAACATTGATGGGCGCTTTGCACAGCAACGGAATTCGTGAGAAGGCTCTTTTGAAACAACTGGAAAAGAACTTCAACTATGGAACTGTCACCTGCATACCAAACAGCCAACAAGGTATGTGCATCTCAGCTGAGTAGTGTGATTTATAAGTAATTTTCGGTGTATGCTCCTACATTATGCAGCTGAGCTTTCCCACTGCATTAAGGGCACCGGCTAGGCCCTGTAGTATGTCCCTTGCATTTTTGGTCATTTTGAGGTGCCGTTTTTTCGGTGATTAAAAAGAAAATTCACATAATTCATAAATCAGTTTTTTCCAAATTTTTCACGCTTTAAGGTGGTAGGCCACCTTCAAAAGTCAAATTTTTTTCACAAGATTTATTTTTTATTTATTTTTATTTTGCATGCCCGATCATTCATGAATGCGTAGCAACAAAAATGATCCTTCTATCATCATCAGTGTGTGAGTTACACCTAGATTTCTATACACCATGCTCCTATACCGAAACCACAACGTGTTATGTTGGTTACGAAAGTAAGTGTTTTTTGTCTATATTAATATTATTCAAAATACTTCATGAATTTTTTATGTTGACTGTTACATAAGAGGATGTCATTACACATATATGTTTGTGCTTCTAATTGTTTTTGAATCGCTAAAAACGACCACAAGGAGGATGCAAGATTCCGTGAAATGTTTGTTGTTTACCTTGGCCGGGCTGCGTGAAGCATCGTTCAGCATTTCTTTCACCTGTCAACACTGCAACGTGTGTGTTCTTAGGGCACCTGGACCATGTTTAGACCAGCATGGCTAAGCGCAGAACTCAAAAGACAAGGAAGCACAAGTTTGGTAGAAATCGTTACACGACGACGAGGCTGCCTCCTATTGTGGGCGCGGGTGTTTCGGTGATTGCAAGGAAGCTTGCGGGCATTATGAAAATGTACGAGGCTCCTCTGGAGAATTCTTTGCTCCAAGGAAACAGGCTTGTGCACATTGATATTCTTTCTTCGGTGTTTTCATCAATGACATGCCCTGGATGCATGAACCTAACGCTGAAGCTCGAGTAACACTTTCACCATGGTATAGGCTCAACCTGTGCGGTCGTGTGTACCGATATTTGATACGTCTAGAAAGGTGGGACATGCTAATGAAAATAATGTTCATCTCGTTTATGTGATGCGCCAGTTAGGAAAAGGGCAGGCAGGTGTGGAAACGTTTGCCAAAGTCATGAACATGCCCGCTCCTCCACGTCACTCCATCTATGACAATTTATTGTTTCAGCTTTCTGCAGCGGCAGAAGAAGTGGTGTTGAAATCTATGGCTGAAGCTGCTGTGGCACAACACGGGAAAAGTCATTGATGTTGAGACCCTTTCTAGCTCGTGTAAGTCTCGTATATATAAAAAGAAGTTGAGGCCAGAAAGTGCTTCTTATCAGGAATGGAAGGCAAACAACACTTCTTGTCAAGCAAACCATGAAGAACTGCTGGCAGTATGGAGACAGTTGGTCTGTACCAAATATTTGAGAGGTCGCAGCTAAAAAAAAGGCTTGAAGTACCCGAAATTCTACAGTGATGGTGATTCCAAGAGCTATGCCGCTGTGAAAGAAAAGTATGGAAAGGACAGTGTACAGAAACTAGAATGCATTGGGCATGTTCAGAAATGTGTTGGCTGCCATCTCAGAAAACTGAAGAAGGCAGTGCATGGTTTGTAGGTAAGGGAAAGGTCACTGATACCCTAGCTCATTGACCGCCTGCAAAACTGCTATGTCATTGCTATAAGAGCTAATGTGGGCAACCTTTCTGCAATGAAGCAAACTACCCTTGCCAGTCTTTATCATTGCAGCTGTACCGACAAGCATTAGAGACATGGTCTGTGCCCACTTGAACCGAACAGCCAGAGTGGGTACAGAAGGGTCGAAGCACTCGGCCAAGGAAAGTATGTGCACAAAGGAGGACTTTCGAATCATGTGCTCAACAAAGTTAAAACTGTGTACAGTGATTTGTGCTTGTATGAACTTCTGATGAAATGTTTGCATGGAAAGACACAAAATGAGAATGAGTGCTTTAATGGTCTGATATGGCAGCGAGCTCCCAAAGAGGTCTATGTAATATTGTGCACAGTAATGTTTGTCTTGCATGATGCTGGCAGTGTAAGCACCCTAGGCATCCTGAGGCAAGCTGGCATAGAACCAGGGTTCTACACGACGAAAGCTTGCTTTGCCAGAGGTTACAAGCACATGCAGAATGCCAAACGCAAGTCAGCGGATGGGACGAAACAGGCTAGAAAGAAAACAAGAACAGCCATACGAAAAAAAGGAGACTATAATGCTATTCAACAAGGACTCACCTATGAATCTGGTCCATTTTTGGACTCTGTGCGTTTTTTGGACTCTGTGCGAAGTTTCTGACACCTTGTGCCCGCTCTGAAATCTTTGCTTAATAAGAATTTGCTCCTAATCATGTGACGCTAACTTCCATAACTTTTTTTTCGGTGCATGCTCCGAACTGAATTTTTATGCAATGTTTCATCACTTATATATCTGTGCAGTCAACTAGCACAAAAGAAATTGATAGATTAGTTTTGAATTCACAGTTAATTTTGCAAGCAAGTTCAGGCTAAATTGGCACTTTTTCTCCGTCTGCTGGAGTTTTTTAACATAACTTCTTTGATGATATTTACTGTATATTATTTATCCTAGTTCACTGCATTGCTCCAACCTTTGGTTACAGAAATGCCGAAGTTTTACTCAATTCGGGCACCCGTTAGTCACTTATCATGGCTGGTGTAACTACCACTTTTCATTAAATTTGTGACAAACATGACCTCCCAAAAAAAAACCCAATATTTAGCACTTTAACAGACTAGTCAAGGTTAATGAAGCTTGCTTGGTCCAAAAAAGCAGTTATTTTAATCCTGGATCGTCTGGTTAAAAAAATTTGGGGGGTGGGTGGCCTGTTACCTTAACAAAACAGGTGTATTAAAATCTTACTGATATTAGAACTTTTGCAAATTTTTCACCATGAGAACCTAAATTTTAAGTTATTTGGCATCTATTGAAATTCTTAACACAAAAAGTATAATGGGCACAATGTAAATTCTGCTTCAGTGGCTGTAGGCATTCATGCAGAATACAAGGAAAAATAATCAACTGGTTATCTTGGAATGCATAGAAAATATTGGTGCTGTGGGAATTGAGGCTAGCCCGCTGCCTTTGCGCGGGCTTTGCCGTCTTTTCTGCCGTTCTCATGTCCCGACATGTTTCCCCGCCTTTGCTGTCTGCCGCGCTGGGAGAGTGGAGTGACGTTTAACCCCCTCACCCGGTAGCGGATGTTGACTGTGGCGCCGCGCGCAGAGTCTCCCGAGAGGTTTTCGCGCACTGCGTCAGGAACTGAGAGATACTGTTCGGGACTGCAGATGGTGAGTCACGCAATCTTTTCCGTCCGTCGCTCGGGGGCTCGTCGGACTCGCGCCTGAGGCGAACGCTCACCTTTTGTTGCCCCACTGCGTACGCATGGCCGAAGGATGGTACGGTGGCCTAGCTACGTCGACCCATCTCCCTCCGAAGCCGTTGCGAGCGCCTTTGCCCTCGCTCGAGCAACCAGGCCTTGGTCCCGGTGTCTCCGTGGATCACCTTTACCGCAGAGACGTGCTCGTGGCATCTTGTGTAGTACTTTTGTGCCCGTGGCGTGGATAAGCCTATTTGCTTTCTCGTCGCGCCTTTGCAACGGGCTGTACTGCGTTTGGTGTTGCCACAATAAAGTGTTGCGACTTTGAGCAGTATCGTGTTCTCGCCACGGCGACGGTTAACGCGTGCCCCGCGGCTCGCTAAGACCGGACCCACGCTGGTGGCCGTACTCCTTCGGGATACGTGTACACCACAGTGCCTAAGTAATAAAAAACATGCTTCTGGATAATAGAGCTTAAAGTTAGAAAATGGCTGAAAAGCAAGTACACTTTATCACAAACACCATTTAATTGTTCTATTTAGTAGCTAAAAGTATGGCAATCACTTTCCAAGTCAATTTTTCACTTTGGAGCCTCTCGTAATGCTTGCCTTGCTTCTTTTGGAAGCTGTCATGTAGCTCTATCCGCAGTGTATCGTTGGATGTTTTCACTGTTTTCCAGCAAAATGACTGTAGTGTGGCCACGCTGGAATCATAAATATTCTATAATTTAGGCTGGTAGGATACTATCATCATGAAATGCAAGAACAATATCCAGTGTTGCAATGACTTTGAACCTAAACAAAGACTGTGAAGCGATTTCCATTAACTCAACACTTGCACAGGGCAGATGGCACGCGCTGTTTTGGTCTAATTGCATCATAAATAATGTTCATTAGAGCATACATATTGTCACCTTGCCTGTGATTCACCCCGAAGGAAGCTCAAAAGGCTGAGAGTTTCACCGAAGAAGAGCTTGCCAGTTGAGTGTTCAGCATCTCAGTACGTCACTGATGTTTATTCACATTTACAAGAGAACTGTATGGGTTGCCTCCAAATGCACACTTGCTGAAGACTTTTTTACCTTCAGTATCTGAACTTATCGGCCAGCTTGGCAAACTGAAAGGGGTGCTGACAACTTTTTTCAGAGGCGATTTTACTCTGCCATACAAGTCTCCTGTATACAGAGACGGCTCTGAAAAAGTGTGACACTCAGCAAATGCTAATAAGATACTTTTATTTTAGTCAAATTTCTCACAGCACGCCTACCAGCATCGACACTACCTAACTTGACGTCAGGCTAACCATGGCGACTTCACGCCGCAGTCTGGCAAGTTGTGATCACGTAAAAACACAAAAAATGGCACTTGCGCGTTTCCCTCTCGATCGTCTGCTCGCACCGTGCGGCCACTGTCATCCAGCGTACCTGTGAAGCGAGCTAGCGGAATATGGAATATAGTGTACGTGCATGCGAATACGATATACACTCAAAGCTCGTTATAACGTAACGGGATATAATGAAGTAATGGATATAACGAAGTGAATTAAATTTTCCTTGAAAGCTCCATTGAGAACCATGCATTTTAAACCTCGTAATGAAATAAAATTGACCAGTAAATGGATATAACAAACTAAATTAGTCTATCAAATAGTCTAGCAAAACAAATGCGACC